GAGAACTCTTGAATAAGGGACCGCCAGGATAAGGTTAGATCTGATTTCACCTGCCTCCAAAAGGCTAATTTTTATATTACATTTTAAGACACGCAGATAAATTATAATTTTATATTTTAAAAAAATATTATTTTTCTGGAAAAAAAGTGTAATCATCATCATCATCATCATCATCACTTTCATTTAGCTTTAGAAATAACAAGCCCATGGAGTACGAATTATTATAAACATCATCTACCTTGCAAACAGAAACTCTTCAGAAAATGGCAATGTACCATATAACACTGAAAGGGAAGACATGGCGCCCAACCATCATTATCCTAAAGGAGAGGTGTTCATCTCGGTTCCAAACCAGCAAGATAAGCATACTTCTATGCTCTTAGAATCTGGATTTTTTCACAGAAGGAAATGATGGCTTAAATCAGTAAGGCGAGTCTCCAATGCCATTGTTTTAAATATAGGGAGAATCTTAAAAATATAAAAGTATTTGCATTTTTGTATTTTTAAGATGTATTCTCGTTATTATAAAAACTATTTTATAATAGAAGTATTAAAAATCTGGACTGGGATAGAATTCATTTTCTTCACAGTAGCAGTACGGGGCCATGCTCTGGATGTGTGCTGGAAGCTGTGTTACTGAAGAGGTGTTTTAGTTATGGCTGAGCATCTTCCTCACCTCTTTCCTGAAATAACTTTTAAGTTGGGAAATACATGAAAAGCTGGTATTTTTTAATTCCTTATCATGCACTACAAATTCCTTATCATTTACTACAAATTGTATTACCTGCATTTAGCTGTGTTATGCGAGCTAATGCTTACAATGAAATGTCATGTATGTTCCTCCATGCTCAGGCCTAGATATTAACATGATTCTTCTGTGCTGCTGGTGAAGGGGAAGGAGGAACATCCACACACTGTGTGCTCTCAGGCACACAGGGAAGTAAATTAATGAAAACAAGGGGAAGGTAAAAATAAAGGGAAGGAAAAAGGAAAAGAGATAAAAACAAAGAAAGGAGAAAACAAAGGGGGAAAGATAAGAAAAAAGGAGAAAAAGGGGAAAAAAGGGAAAAAAAAAAAAAGGAGAAAGCGGGGAGAAACAAGAGAAAGGAGAAGAACCACCCAGCTCTAGATGGCAGCAAATCAATATCCACCCCTATGAACAGAGACACCACAAGCATCAACTGTTTCCAAACAGGCTGTGTATTTTCAGTAGTGTTTCTAGGCATGCTCTTATTTTCAGGTTGTGACACAGGCAGGACCAAAGCTGAGTGAGCAAAGCCATCAGGACTCAAGCACAATTCACCACTGTCCACAGGATACTCCTCTCAGTCCAAGAACTCAACCAGCAGCCTGATTTTTAATTTCAAGCTTAATTTGATTCTCTTTTGCTGCAGAGACTGGATAATCCAATAGAATGATCCAGAAAGACCTGGAAACTCAGAATTGAAGAATTCCAAACGCTAAAAATCTGAGCCCTTGCACAGTAACTGTGTTCATTCCCTTTCCGGAGTTGTGACTTGCAATTATAATGTTATTCTTGTAAAAAGACCATGGACCTTAAAAATGCACATCACCCTAATATGCAATGTCATGAATAAAACTATTCCTTTTGTAACAAGATTCTACAGACACATCTTGCGTTATCTTTTGTGGTAGTGGTACTACAGAAACATAACTCAGCAGCATGGGGATGATGGTGGTAGCTCAGGTAGCAGTGAAAGCCAGGTTTTGTGTAGGCAGGTGAACATTGCTCATCAGAGATCAACCAAGGCAGCACAGGACTGATGATGTAGAATAATACAAACAATGTAAATACATTGAAAGCGGCCATACCAACTTCTATGACCACAGGGGCATGAGCTCATGGGAACAGCCACCACAGCAACGTCACTGCCATACTGCAGAACTTGTATTTCTTCGTAAGAAGTGTTTGGGGTCAGCAGGCAGCACATCCATCCAGTCACTGTCAAGATACGCTCTTCATATGCTCCTTTAATTTGTTTTCTGTCACATTCCAATAGTCCATTTTCCAGGGCATTTTAAAGCTACTTAGTTGAGAACATACTTAGGTTGTCTGTGCTTAAAGGCTCTCCCATGCCCCTCCATAACTCTGCCAATCCAATCTTTAAAATATAAATGCCAGTTTGAGCATTTAAAGGTAATCTTGACTTGTAAATCTCACCAACAGAGTACATCTGCAGCATAGAAACTGTAAAGGGCAACAACAGGGAGGAATCATCAGTTCAACTTACCGTCAGGAAAAACACAGTGACCAAAGAAACCAGCTCACAGGGTAAGCTCCTGTACCCAAATAGATGCTTTAATGCAAGGGCCTCGCATCTGCCTCAATTTTTATAGCTCATGCTCATATTAGAAATTCAGGATCGTCTTATTTCCCAAGAGCTGGTCCTTTCTCTTGTGCTCAGTTTCATGACCCACAGTTCAGGTGAGCCTGGCAATAACCAACATAGCTCAGCACCATCTAGTTTATATGGCTGAATCCTAAAGGAAAGCAATGGAGAGTCATAGGCTAAACAGGCTGAAGTACTGTTGTCTTCCCTTCCCATGAGTATTTAACAATTAGATATCACAGATTCACAAAGTCTAGGCTTATTCAGTTACTTGTTTTCAGGTGTTTTTCACTGTTGTTGTGGAACAGCTTAAAATAATATTGGAAATATTAGATAAGCTTTTCAATGTTTAAAACAGAAACAGGTAAGCAAAAAGCAGTTACTCAAGTGAATCTGGGTAGAAGCAAAGGCAAAGTTACCAGCATTGGGAAGTATCTTCACTTTGTGACAAAAATTTTGACCTGTGCCACTGAAATGATTTAGAGGGAAAAAGATTTCTCAGAGATGCTCATTCAAACATTTGCTTATGCACACCAGAATGACACGATGAATTAGACCAAGAAATTCAGAGGTTAAAATACCCCCAGAGCATCACAGTTAGTCACAGTAGCACAGGACTTATCACTATAAGAAAATAATCATCTGATGCAGGGTGGCAATTCACACGATCTATTTTGAGATGTCTTCCAAGTAGCAGTCATGTAAAATTGATGTTTCAAGTAATCTCCTGACCACACTCAGCCTTCCCACAGTAGCTGCTCAGGATGAAACATAGACTGAAAATACCCCAGGACACCTCTGTGCAGCAGGTGTGACGTGACCTCTTAAAAGGTGTGAGGAGGTAGAAAGTATTTTTGCAGTGACAGGAATTAAGAACCATTTCTAAAGGTTTCTGCATGTAACATCCACCACTGAAAGTTCTGCTCTCACAAGGTTCCCAAATATGAGATGCTTCTTCCCAGCGTCATCTGCCTGTATGCCAAGTCAGAAATAGTATTCTAACATTTTTAAACACCAAAAGCCCTGGAGTCATTCCCATAAACATGAAAATATTGTATTTCTTCTGCAGCAATGTGGTAATTTGCAAGGAAGGCAGAAATGACCCAAAAAGATTTGTCACTTTTTTTAAAGTAAGAAGAAATAAAATGATCTTCATTACTAATTTTCCTAATCCCTTTCTGCTACACAGCATGCTGCTTTCAAGCAGACACTATGGAAAGTCTAGAGGACATCCCAGACAGCAATGGATAGGAAAGTCAAGGTAATTGACGCTTCTGATTTACGGTGAGAGTGGCTACAGCAGAGGAAAAGAGATGCTGGATGAGGCTCAACCACTACTGCACTGACAGGGATAAATGCAGAAGGAAAAAGAAAATGGAGAGTGGACTCCCGAAACAACTTGTTACATTTAACAATTCCATCTTTGTGGGTTTGGGTTTTTTTTTTATACCGATAAAGCTGTTACTTCACTGTGGAAATCTGAATTCAGCTGTACATCGCGTTACTTATTTATCTGAGGAACGGTTTCTCCTGCAAGTCAAACTACAGAACTCACTGTTGTTCTTAAAAACAGCACATTTGATGTTTCAGTAACATAAATGTATCAGTTTGGAAATGCCAGTGGCTCACTAGGCCTTTCCTGTCCACCTCAAGGACAAAGCCTCCTCAGCACATCAGTTCAAAACTCCTCTTCCCCTGAAGTCCCTCCTGCTCTGACATTCCCTTTCATTTCTCTGGGTATGATCCTCCAGCATCATTCCCACTGTCCCAACAGGAAGCAAAGCAGCATCCCCTACTTGAGAAGGAGAATAAAGGTTAGAAGAGTTGCCTGCCACTTCTTTCCCAGGAAGGCACTTGGAAAGAGACGATATTTGTGTGTTGGTTATCTGGAATGGGCTGTGAAACCCAAGAACGTTCCTGGATGAACAGATTGCAGGCAATCATCAGGGGGGGAAAAAAAAAAAAAAAAATCACAAAACAAACAGCCCTACACACTACTACACATTCATCAGTTAACAACATGAGTTTATATGTGCTTTTGGTGCAACTGTGCATACATGTACACTGCCACACTGCACATGCTAACATGAGCATGGAAGAGCTTCCTACACCTAACAGTCACCCTTCTGGGGTGTCCTGTCACCTTTCACTCACTACCTGAGTGTGTGGAGTGGCTGACGAACTCAGCACTGACCTTGCTGCATCTCCAGTGAAGTCAACAGCATAACTTAATTTGATTTTTGATGGAAAAATGAGCATCTTTGAAGTTATGCCCTTGATACAGATTTATTTAGGCAGCAAAATGTCACTTTCTTCATCCAAGTGCTAAGGGAGTTTGGGTTAGTGAAGAGTAATTTTTTTTTTGCAATTCTCCAGGTTTTACACTATAGAAAATATAGAGCAAGCCTGCTGGAAGCTAATGTTCATGGTTCCTCTAAAAACATCAATTCATATCCATTATTTACAGAACGCAAAAGCTCCCTGATGAGAAAACCATCAAAGATAAGCAGGCTTAGGATGGTGGACTTGGCAATGCGTAGAAGAAAATCATGGAAACAAACTATTAAGGGAAAAAAACACACTTACACAGGCCCAATACCATATACTACTGCAATAAACTTGACAGACTGGAACAGCTTTCCTCCTTACCTCTGGAGTGTTCTTCTTGAACTCGCGACTTTGCTCAATAAGTTTTTTCCTCGACTGCTCACTTTCATCTTGCCGGTTTGCCAATATTGTTGCTGTGGCATCGAGCTCTCTCTGTCAAGAAAAACAGAACAACAACAAAAAGGGACTATGGTCAGAGCTCCGTTTCTCAGAGAAATAAAAACAAAAGCTCATACATCCATCACGGCATTTAGAACATCAAGATGGCTGGACTACTGGTTCAGAACAAAGCACCAGGCTTCCAGAAACTGGACCTCGTGAATAACATCAAATGAGGTTCTACAACCCCATCTTACAACCCAAATATCACCATTTTTCTCAAAATCATTTGTGTTTTTAACCACAACAGTATACAGGATAGCAGCAGTGGCATGCAATACACACCTCCTAATGAATTCCCAAATCTGGATTTTAAACCACATTCCAGCCAGTTTCATTTTCACCTGCTTGCTTTGTAAAGAAACTGAATTTTCCCTTTTTGAGTTACTCTGAAAAAATATTACGATTAACTCAAATATTTGTTAACCTTATACTTCAGCCTAGAGCAGTTATGCTTCAGTCACTCTTAATTTCAGGTGACACAGTGCAGAATTCTATACTGCCACTCCAATGCCCTGTTTCAACTTAAGTCTTTCTTTATTTGAACACAAAATTATCCTTTCTTACTATTGGAATTTGTGCCTCTAAAATTATTAGCAAGTCTCTGGTTCCTTCCCCAAAACTATCTTTTTTTTCATCATCTGATAATGCCAGATTATCTTCCAACAGCTTCTACTAGGCTGAAGTACGGGCTCAGCCTACAGAGGGATGCCCAGCTCCACCCAAGTGCATTATCCCCATCCCAGTTTCTTTACTCAGTGCTGTGCTTCCAAATGTCACCATTAATAGATTGAACGGGTCACTTCTCAGCCCATAAACCAACAATACTCCACGTCAGTTTATTCCTTTTCTGCAGTACTTCCACGTAACATGAAAAAAATAAAGGCAAAGCTCAGCTGTGTACCTCATTCCCCAGGTCGCTTGGAGTTATAACCAAGAATCTGTAACAGGAATTTGGCACTGTTTTCCTCCATTATTCATTTGAAAGGAGAAAAACCTGGCTATGCGAATGAAGCTCATGAAAAGGAAGAACAACACAAGGCAGGTCTCCTCTGCAGCTATCTTCATCACATCCCTCTGCCAACGTGCCTCTGACCCTGAGATTCTTCACCAGAAAACCTGCTGCACCACTGGCATTTGGTCATAACCCAATAACCTGTAACAGAACAGACTGAGAAGCCAAGCCTGGGACCTCCTGTGGGGTCTGATTCCAGATGCCCAACAGTCAATCAAGTCACTGACCAAGGCATCTCTTGCTACCACCACACAAAAAGACCATAGTAAAAGTAAAGCGGATTTGGTTACAACTGAATGGTTAGCATAAAAACTTCCTGTAGGTCGGATCATACATATTTCCCAGTGGAAATGGGCAGCCACTATGGGGAAGCAAAATGGGACAACCAAAGATTTGCCTCTTCCTATGTGTGCAGAGGTGTTAGAAATAGCAGCAGGTAACACAGGAAAAAAAAAGCCTTCTGCAGTTTCCAACTCAAAAGGATCAATATTTTCCCCCTCTTTAGGTTTATTACCATGAAACTAAGAGGTTTTTTAATTTATTTATTTTAATATATGGACCGTGTTATCTTAATCCTTGGAAATAAGCTCAATATGACAAATGGATTTGAAGCTAGGCAGTACACTGGAGCCAGTGACCTAAATATTGTCACTGTAATGCTTAAAAAACCCCCTACTTCTGACTTGGAGTTAAAAAACAGGGCAATATGTCCACCAGATCTTGGTTTGGAATTCTGTAACATATGTGAAATCTATTGCAGAAAAGTGGGAAATACTTAACAGTTGGATAAACCACATTTGAAATTCATCCCAGCTAAGTTTATGCAAGAAAAAAGAGCAACAGAAACCAATGTGGTTAAGCAGTACTATAAAGAGCAATATAACGGCTAAGCAGAAGGCTTTTAAAAAATATAAACAATCTGGTACGGCCAGCAACTTGGAAAACTATATTTAAAAAGGAAGCACGCATTTAAAGCAAAGCAAAGCAAACACAAATCATGAAGTAAGGAGGAATTTCAGGAGACCAAAGAATCGAACGCTTTCTTTTACAGTACAGGGTGCTAGCGAGCAACTTTACAAGTGGAAAAATCGACTTTTAAAGACCTACACTTCCACATTTAAAGACAAGAAAGAAGTACCTGAAGAGGGCCCATAGGGATGCTGGGGAGGGACTCATCATTAGGGACTGTAGTGATAGGACAAGGGGAAACGGGTTAAAACTTAAACAGGGGAAGTTTAGATTGGATATAAGGAGGAAATTCTTTCCTGTTGGGGTGGTGAGGCACTGGAATGGGTTGCCCAGGGAGGCTGTGAATGCGGCATCCCTGGCAGTGCTCAAGACCAGGTTGGACAAGGCCTTGGGTGAGACAGTTTAGTGTGAGGTGTCCCTGCCCATGGCAGGGGGGCTGGAACTGGATGACCTTAAGGTCCTTTCCAACCCTAACTATTCTATGATTCTATGATTCTAAGAACTGACTGAAAATAAATCCTGTTTCATACTAGCATATATTTCATGCTATTATGAAGAGCAGAGGCAAGTAGCAAGTGACGAATAACCATTTTGCCCCCACTGCTCGATGGATACTAGTGCCACAACACATTTACTACAGGCACCTTCCCATTGCTTTCAGAATTCCAGCTGGGACAGGTCTAATAATTTCTTACTGTGTAAAACTTCCTTATGTGACATCTCGGGTACAGGCATCACCAAGGCATACAACTACACTGAACTCTTTGGCACTGGGGGCTGAAGCCCACAGGCTCAAGATCGTGCCTTAGCATTTATGAACAACTGATACAGTAAGTTGAATTCCAGCTGAGGAACTGCAGACATTCAGCCCCATATACAAGATCTGATGTAAACTGAGACGCTAAAATCCTCAAGCTACGTTGTGGTTAATAAGCCCCAAATCAAAACTATATGGAAAATTTTCTTCCTCACTTCATCTCAACCATTTTCAGTGCAAGTTCCTCTTACTTAAGCCTTCTTTTACATAAACAGATACAGGATTACAACCCACAGGCATTAATGGCAGATTTTTCAGACTTTTTGAGACTTAATCTCATGAGATATCCCAATTTCTGTAAAAATGTAATGTGGCCAACGCATCATTTCTGCAAGCAAGCACGTATTAAAGAGTAAATACCATTAGTTTTGAGGTTTCAAACCTGAGTACACTCAAAGGTACACCCACTTCCCAAGTCTTGCAACCACTCTCTAAGGAGATCTTGAGTAAAAGATGTAATGCTATACAGAGAGAAGCGTAGTAGAGAATCCTTTAGGGTGTAACAAAAATAGGAGACCATGTCCCAGTATCATTCCCCACACCTTTAAAATCAAAAAGACCCCACTGAAAAGCAAACGGAAGCCAGGGCTCAAAGGCACTGCAGTGCTGACCCAACTACAGAGAGGATTCAAAGCCTGGAAGCTTTAGTTCCACTGATGCAACAGAAGCTAATAAACTTTCTGGCCAAAAATAGCCACTATTCAATCGCCCCTGCAAAAGTGAGTCACTACTTGGAGGACATTTTGAGAGAGAACAAGCAGGAGGATTATCTTGCCCCTTGCCCCAAAGTCCCATCGATTTTGGGCAGACACCATTCACTGCTTAAGCCACAGATAACTAAAGAACTCTCTCCAGGGTTTCTGCTTTGACCCATTCCAACAAAGTTATTGAGAGTGGGAGGGAGGCAATGGGAAGAGAGGAGAAAAGAAGGGCTTACGCTCTGAAGTGCAGGAGTCATTAAAAGCAATCCTTAGAAAACAAACATTAAAAGGTTTCTTTCACGTAGCATATATATAAAAATATCTAACACTAGGAGGGTCGATCTGCTATGCACCATCAACTTGAACCGCATTTGGCTTCCTTTAATGCCAGTATTTCCAGTCTCTTTCAGGCTCCCCAGGAGCCATCCCTGTTCCTCTCGCTCCTGTCACCCCATGCCACAGCTGTGCAGGGAGCCGCAATGGGAATCCCAGCCTCCTGCGAAAAACATATCTCACCTTTCCCCTCTTAAATCCTGTTGCACTGAATCAGTTCCCTGCTCAGCCCTCCTCTGTGGCTACACAGTGTTGTACCATTACAAAAGGGAGGTGGGAAACCCAGCTGGAGCGAGGGGAACGGATGGAATCCTCCTTTTTGGCATCACCCTGCTATTAGGCTGACCTCAAGTAACTCCAAAACTCCAGCCTCCTTTCAGGCAGGTTCCAAGGTTGTTTTCCTTCACGGCTGACATGTCTTCCCCTACAAGATGCATACCTTGATAATCCCCTAGCCAGCAGGTCTGCACCGCTGACAACGGACTGGTTTAGCACACTGAAGCTCTCCTTCCCTTTTTGTAACAGGAAGCACCAGCCCAGCCCTTTCTGCCACCAGAGCTCTCCAAGAACTACTCACTTGGGAAAATGATTCTAGACAGAAACTGCGCTTTCTTGGACGTTGATGAAGTCTCTGTTCCTCCATCCTAACAGTGGAAGGAAACTACACCGGTATTTCAGGACACAGGAAACCAAAACACTTCAGCATCCCAATCCCCCCAAAAGCTGCCCTAACATAATATATCCTAACTAGTAGTCTCTGCTTAGACCCAGCACTCTTATGTTTCACATGGGAAAGTTATACAAAGCTTTAATAATCATCCACAAGTGATGTAACCATACCCCAAAATTTGGTTAGTCTCCCATTTTACAATGGTTAACCCTTGCTTACACTGGAGCAAGAAACACGTATCATATCTTTATGACACACCGATTTTTTTCTGGTAGACTCCTACTCCTGGACACAATACCCAGGCTAAGCCTTGACAGCCTTAAGCATGGCTGCAGATGTTAACAGCATGTTTTCACCATAAACCTCAATTTACTTATTACAAGGATTGACACAAATTACAACTGCATGTAGATCAGGAGTCTTTTACCAGTAAATGTAGTAACCATTTCCCCTGAACTGCTGCTTCTGTGTTTTTAAGGTATTTCCCTT